AATCCCCCCTTCCCACCCAACTAAATTATCATCCAATTCGTTACCTGTCCCCCATCTGCCGGACATCTCTTCGTACGTTATTCTTGATCTATCTTTGTCTCTTTTGTCTTCTATTTTATCCGGTGAGAGCAAGAAGTTCAGAGTCTTTATGGTGATTCAAGAGAACTTTTGCATTTATTGTCACATTTTCACTGATTTGTTTACAAGTCAGAAGCTCACGCGGGCTTCTTTTCACTAGATCTATCTTAAAAAAAAAAAAAATTTTTCCTTCTATGAAAACTACAACAAACTCCTAGGAAACCACGGTGCTTCTTGCTTTATTGTCGCTGTCTTCGGTTAGTGTCCAGCATTCACAACCATATCGTATAGAAGCGTCGACCACACATCAGCTCTTTAAAACAATATTTTACACAAACTGTTTGACATTGAGACGATTCTATTTCTGTGGTTTGGACTTGTTTTCATTCATAATTAATTATTGAAACTGTCTTGAGTTTATATTGCATGTCTTCGCTTGCTTACACTGGAACGGGATTCCAATACCGATAAAAGACAAACTGTTCATGTATAAGATTTTAAAACCGAGCCTGTGGTGGTTAGTGAGTGCTCTGACTGGTATGGTTTGCTCCTTCTTTCTTGTCAATCATCTGTTTTTCTCAGCCTTCCTTCTTTTTCTGCATGTTGGTTACTCTCTTGTAACACCTCTAACCAACGACACTTGTATAATCTAGTTGCGTTGCAAGGGTCGTAAAACGATGACTAAAACAAACCGGGTCCCCGCTACAAGTCGGTGACTCGTTCAGCAGCGTCTATCCACTTTTCTAACGGGTTCACGTCGTGTTCTGTTTGGTCTGCAGACGCTTTTCTGGCCATGACGACAATATCGGGAAAACTGTTTCTGGCACGTTCGTGCCGACCGTTGGAAGAATTAGCCGCTTCGCCCGAGTTATTGTTCGATTTTCCGTTGCTACTGTTAGAAGATTCTCCATTAGACTCCGCTGGCAATGCAGCATGATGTGGAGAACCTGCCTGATTGTCAGTTGTTTGGGTCAAGTTTGGCGATTTGGCTCGCTCTGAAGAGCTCGAACCATTCTGAGTGTTGCCATTCTCGTCATTGATCGTGTCTTTGCGAGCGATCCGAAGGTTCTCGATCATGGCCGGGATTTTGTGTTTGTCGTCTTTATCCGACGCCATGTCGAACGAAGCTTTCATGGAGGCGCTTACAGGGCGAGAACGTGAGAGCGTCTTTTTGCCATTCGCCGGAGGGTGATGACGCGATGAGGACGAGTCAGAGGACGACTCATCCTGTTCCTCCACTCCTTCATCGACTTCATCCATGTTTGGAAGGTCTAACCGTTTGTTTCGATTCCTCATATTGGCGCGAAGACTCACGGTCGACCTCTGGAGTTTCGGGTTCCTTATCTCCACCTGGTCGTGATCGTCCCCTTCACGTCCTCCTCCTCCTCTACCACCCTCCTCTGGGAAGAAAACGGGAGAGCTTGAAGGCCGAGCTGACTTCACCGCCCCTCCATCAATATGATCCTTGTCTTCCTTCTGGGCCTCTCTGTTCACCGCCTCCACCATGTTGATGTATTCCAGAAGTTTCTCCGCTTTCACTCTGCTGTTGAGACTAAGCCTAGCGATGTCGTTCTTCTTGCAGGGGCGTCGGATGGAGAATCTGCGGCGTCGCTTGATGCAGACTTTGATGTTGTCGTAGATGATGTCCCTACAGAGGAGCGTGTTGTACTCCATCAGCTGAGAGAGCCGCTGGAACTCCTGGTGCGTGTACGTGAACTTGAAGGTGGAGTAAGGCCGCGCGGGGTCGTCAAAGACGCTGAAGTTTCCGAAGTCCAGCTCTTCCTGGGTACGTCTCGCTAACCCTATTGGGGAGGGTGGTAGAGGGTTGGGGGTGTGGTTTGGGAGGGGAGGGGGGGGGGAGATATATAGTTATTATCGTTGGCAAACTGGTAAGCTTCAGTTTTTTTGATTGAGAGGAAATATGTCCAGAAGAACGAGAGCACGAGAAAAGAAACATAAAGCACCCAGAACTACAGAGTGGAGACCCTGAATGTATACTACTAGGTCAAGTGAGCTCCAAGGGGTTGTGGGTGGGGGTTGGGGATGGGGATTGGGGGAATGGGGGTGGGGAAGGGGGGATAGGGGTGGGGAGTGGGAGTTGGGTGGTAACCGTTTTACTTTAACCAAGGCAAGGATTAAAAGAAGTAGATGTCTTATCTGGTCTGATCTCTCACTTAAAGTTGATTAGATAGAGTAGAAGTGCAGGGTAATGGGGAATTTGGGATTCCAATGTGGACATAACATATCATTTTATACATTTTAGTTAAAATAAATGAATTTAGACGAATGTCTGTGTCTGTCCTCCACATTGAGAGAAAATAATGTGCCTGGCAAGACGAGGAAAGAAACCCAAATCTCTTAAAACGCTAGAGTAGAGAGCTGGGCAAAGAATCGATTCCGGAATCGATTCCCGCGATTAATACTACGGAAGAAAAGTTCCGACTCCTTTTCGTAAACCAACGGTTTCCAGTTACGTTAATAATTAAAATCTTTTTCTTTTGTTTAATAGGTTATTTTTTTTTAAAAAGGTGGTTCCCCGTAATGTTCCGAAATCAAGGTTGTCTTAAATCCTGAAAATGTTCGGTGCCAACTAGGTAACCACCGGAAGAAATCACATCATTAGAAAGTAAGTAATTGGGTTCGAAGTCCGATTCTTACGATTCCTAGCTTTCAATAATCGGGGACCTAGCGCCCAACACTAGTAGAGATGTGTGTACTAGGTCAAGTAAGTTCGGGCAGGGGAGAGAGAGAGGGGGGGGGGGGGGGGGGGGGGGG